AGAACAGAGACCCCAGTAGAGAAATTCCAGGCAGCACTGAGTCTCAGTGCCAGGATTTAAGGACCCAGTTTTTGATGGTATTTAAAAAAATTCTGTAAGCTAACCACATCCCAAGTTCCTTCCCATCTGTGGCAGAAAATATTCTCCGTGTGTAAAATGTTCAGTGGGTTTCTGTCACCTAGCAACCAAAATTGCCTAATTAACCCACCCTTTTAATTTTCCTCTCTTTTCTTCTTTCCAAGACTCAGCCTCATCCCCTGGATCTCATTCCTATCTTATAGATACCTGAGCCTACTTTTTTTTATGATGGACCTCTACACTCCCCACAGTTTAGCTCAGGCTTCCCTTTAAAAATAAAAAGAAAAACAAAACAACAAAGACAACAAAAAACAAGGCCTTTCCCTTTTCCTTGAATTGCCTTCAAGCTCTCTGCCTCTATATCTTTCTTCAAAGAGTGCAGAGATGTCTTCACCATCCATTCAGGTTATTCTTCCTGTAACCTACTGCAAGTTGACTTGTCCCAAGCTCTTCCACTGAAATCGCTAACCTAAAGATCAGTGACCCTTTATATGCCAAATTAGAATGTTTTGTTATAAAACAATGCCTGTGTCTTAGAAATGGGGATCACTGGGTGTCCCCAGCAGTGATGCACAGGTGTTCTTTTCCAGAACCCCGGGGCGGTGGGGGAAAAGATGATCTGATTCCATAGAGTGTATTCTTCTGACCGACTTGCTACTGACTGGGCTATTTTACAGCTCTATAAGGGTAGATAATGTGGAAATCTGATAGCAGTGCAAATGTGTCCTGCCCATGCACTGCAGACCAGATAGGTCCCATTCCTAGCCTTCTATGTGAACCTTGTTGGGAAAGGTATTTAAATCTCTTCTAGTCCATCTGAACCAGCTTTAACATCTTCCAGGCCATCTCATTAATTAAGGAACTGAATAAAACCTTTGATGTGTGTTCATTTTGCAAGTCAAGTTTTTGTATTGTCAAAAACTGTACTTCAACCTTTCGGTCTACATCACACACTCATCACTTCATGTAAAATTAGCCCGGCTTGGCTTTCAGCACGTGATAGTTCCTAGCTCTGGTCCTAGGTCTCCAGCCACTGCCCCTCCTCCACTCATGGCATTCTTTCACACTTGTTCCCCTTCAATGTTGCAATTTACCAAGATTCTTTCCCAGATTCTTCCCTAGAGGCATCACGAGGGTAAAAGGAGAGCAAGCACTTAGCAAGGTAGCTTAGCACTTTGTTAACATTCAATAAAAGCTAGCTGGTATTAGCATCATCCACACGGTCAGTTTTGTTATTGCTAAAAGTATCCTACAAGCCTTTCTCTCTCCCTAGATCCCCCTTTAGAACAGGTTCTGTGTTCCACTCATCATGGCCTCTTTAGCACCCAGAAATACAATGTTTGAGGAAGGGAGAGAACGACTGGGCTCTCGAAAGGTGTTCGTATAATCCCCTTACATTAAATTTTTTTTTTTTTAAAGATTTTATTTATTTGAGAGAGAGAGAATGAGAGACAGAGAGCATGAGAGGGAGGAGGGTCAGAGGGAGAAGCAGACTCCCTGCGGAGCAGGGAGCCCGATGTGGGACTCGATCCTGGGACTCCAGGATCATGACCTGAGCCGAAGGCAGTCGCTTAACTGACTGAGCCACCCAGGCGCCCTTACATTAAATATTTTTAATGAAAGATGTATTTAAGGTCCCAAACAAGCCTTCCTCCCTGATTCCCAATCACCGGTAAAGTTCTGGTGGAAGGTCTGGGGCAGGCAGGGGGACTCCTCACGTCTGCTTCCCTCTCTGACTTGCCAGATGATGGGATCTGAGACCCTTACAGCCCAGAGTCGCTAGTGGTATGGGGCAGACAGGGAAAGCAAGATAGTCCAATAGAAATAGAATGGAAATATATCACCTATGTAATTATAAATTCCATAGTAGCCATGTTAAACAGTAGAAACAGGTGAAGTTCATATTAATAACATAGTATTTACAATTTAGTAACATATATGATGTTTAGATCAGTATACAAAATATTTCAATATGAAATTACTAATGTGCTATTTTATATTATTTTTCCATGTAAATCTTTAAAATATAGTATTTACCTTATACTTTCAGCACACATTAGTTTGGACGAGCCACGCTGCAAATGCTCAACAGCGACACGTGGCTTGTTGGCTACCTTACTGAACAGATTAGAGGGTCCTCCAGAGAACCCAGAAGCTAGCTACGGGATCAGAGGGATCAGAGTGATAAAGCAAGACGAGGACTTTCTGAAATGCAAATCTACAGTCCTTCCCCCTCTTCAAAAAAATAAAACACTTTCAATGACTTCCCGCTGTTATGGAAAAAACCAAATTCATCAAAAGGGCTCACAAGTCCGATGTCCTGGCCCTTTCTTACTTCTGTGGTATAATGTTTGTCTAAACCATCTTAAGACTCTAGCCTGTGCACATAATCCTGGTGGGTGGTGAGCTGAGACAGGCAGGCATGTAATACCAGAACTGCAAGACAAAGGAGAAACAACCGAGAAGCTTACCTCTCCTGTCCCATGGCCACCAACAATGTGGCAAAGTCTAGGACCCAGAAGACCACCCTGTGGCTCAGCCCTAGAACAAACAACAGACTAAGACAGGAAGTGAAGCTACCCAGACATTAGTGGGATCTCTAAGTGGTGTGGGAATAAGGGTTGTTCTCAGGATCATGAAAAGTAATTTTTATATGGTCATCATACAAATGTAAAAGCATCTGATTACTCATAAGTGGCACTGAGGGAGGAAAAATATAGATGCAAACTAAGATACAGGCATCAAATTAGCCATTCAACAGAAAAGGATGATGTGGTCAACATCATTAACTGAATTTAGTTCTAGCCTTTAAAAAATATATATTTAATATTCAGAATGCATAATCTACATGTATATTCAGAAAAGTGAATGGTATAAAAAACCCTATAAGCATGCACACAGAGTTCCAATTTATCACAAAACTGTCTCAGAGGAACTCTTGCATACAATGTGAATATTATTTCCAAAATGTGTATTTCAGAAATGTCGTATCTGGACAAAAGGTAATTTCTTATCAATCTCCCCCTTCTTTTTTTTTTAAAGATTTATTTATTTATTTTAGAGGGCGAGGGACAGAGAGAGGAGAGAGGGAGAATCCTCAAGCAGACTCCCCACTGAGCACAGAGCTCGGCTGGCCGTAGGGCTTGATCCCATGACCCAGAGATTATGACCTGAGCTGAAATCAAGAGTCAGACACTTAACGGACTGAGCCACCCCAGCACCCCACTTTCAATCCCTATTGAATAAATGATTTTAATAAGAAATATAATGGACTTAAATATTAGTGATTTTTACTTAAATATGAAGAATTATCTTCTTACATCATGGTTCCTGCTCCTTCAAGATAAAAATTACTTGATATGGAATATATTGTGATGATATGGATGCTTTTTTGCTTCTCAAAACACAAGAGTTAATATTTAGAGACCGTCCTTCCTTAGAGTATCACCAAAAAAAAATTGTGTGCATATATGTAAAAAAAAATACATACTTTAAAAAGGAAATTTTCTCGTACATAAAAGATTACAACAAAGAAAATGTTGCCAGGTTATCTGTTGTTTATATGAAGGATAAGAAGTTCTGCCGAGAGGCATAAGACTAATTCCTTTAAATGTTCTTAAAACACAAACGGCCACATATCCTAAAATAGGTAATTGTCTGGAAGTGTGGGATAAGATGTCTAGGACTCCAGTTATTTTAAGCTGAATTAACAAGGAAGGAATACCCTATATAATATAGCAAATAAACTAGAAAAATTACAAAAAGGATGGAGATCTTTATGAATGGTGAGGGCGTGACTTCCAGGGTATAAAAGTTAAAAAAGCAAAGTACAGAAAGGTGCTTCCGGTAAGTACCTTTTTTATAAGAAAAAAAAGGAAAACCATACATTCTCTTTTGTTAGAAGGATAAATCAGGAACAATGAAAATGTTGATCAATAGAGGACGGGTGGCAAAGCAAGATTTCTGAGTGTAACTTTTTACAGAGCTTCTAAGTTTTAACAATGTCAATGTCTTACATTTTCAAAAAACAAAATTAATAAGGAGTGAAAGACTAAAATTAAATATAAACAAGGAAAATATATCAAATTGGTAACATAAACAGGGAAAATTAATTCTAGTAACTTTCAATACATTGTCTTGCCTGTGAAACCATAGTGGGATATATTCTAAAGATAAATGAAGTGCCAAGAGATCTTAAACTTTACTCAGTTGGTTTATCGATGGTTCTAACATGACATCACAATTAAAAAAAAAAAATTTCTATGTATTGTAGATGGTAAAGCAAATAAATATATTGATAGTACAGTGAATCATTAGGAACCAAGATTTTCCTCCCTTCCCCTATGATCCTCTGTTTTGTTTCTTAAATTCCACATATGAGTGAGATGAAATCAGAGAGGGAGACAAACCATAAGAGACTCTTAATCATAGGAAACAAACTGAGGGTTGCTGGAGGGCAGGGGGATAGGGGGATGGGGTTACTGGATGATGGGCATTAAGGAGGGCACGTGATATAATGAGCACTGGGTATTATACATGACTGATGGAACACTGATCCCTACCTCTGAAACCAGTAATACGTAATATGTTAATTAACTGAATTTAAATGAAAAAAATAATTAATAAAAATTTTTTTTTAAATCTTTAAAAAAAAAAGAGGTAAGCATAAGAGTTCTGGGGATGGATGGCAGCACATTGTGGATGTATTTAGTATCACCTAACTGTACAATGGTTATGATGATCAATTCTCTGTGTGTATATTTGTACCACAATAAAAAACTGGGAAAAAAATTAAACAAAAAAAAACAAAGGAACCAAGATTTTCACTGCAAGAGATAAAAGATCAATACTTCAGAAGCGAAATTAAAAAAAACACATGCATGTGATCCAACACGAATGCCCGGCTCTTGGAAGGGACTTACTTCTTGGCAGTACTGCAGGATGTCCTCCTTGGTGCCAATGCACGTTTTGGTCCCCGAAGGATCGGACTCCCACTTCCCATTCTGCACATTCATATGCATGTTCAGTTTGCCGCAGAACATGGCAACCTGAGGTTCTGCCAGCAAGCCGGCGTTGCCATCAGTGGGCACCTAAAAAAAAAATTAGTTCAGGTTAGTTACACAAATCCACAGCTCTGGGGAAGTGGTTGGGGAAGGGTTGTAAAGAGGAACATGGCATGCAGCAATACCAAAAACAGTTCATTCTCACTTCCAGAAATTCTTGCAAGTAGGAATTAGCCCTGCCTTCCACGTTCCCTTAAGTATTATGTAGGCTACACACATCTCCAACCATCTTAGTGTTTTTTTTTTAATGTTGAAATACAGGCATTAATAATATTGAGAAGAATTTATTCATTGAAATGTTTATGCAATCCCCCGTAGATTTTGCCATGTCTACTGAAACGTTCTGAAAATAAAATAAGGTGTTTTTCTGCAATAAAAATAATCACTCTGGAGGAAACCATATTCTCATAATAACCTCCAACTGACTCACACAAAGAACAATGCCAATTCCCTGCCTGATGACCAAGTCTAAGAGTCAGTTATACAGTACCTCCCAGAGCCGAGGGCATGGTGTCCGTGTGCCTTCTTAGGGAGCAAGTGACATTATGATTTTCTAAACATAAAAACTACTGTAGAATTTACCATGCACAAATGTGACTGAATATGTTGACCATTCCAACTGGTTTTCCCCTGAATATTCTCTGGTTAACACTCTTAGCTCTTTTTTAAATATATAAGATTTTATTTATTTATTTGAGAGCGAGAAAGCGGAGTGCATGCAAGGAGGGAGCAGGGGCAGGGCAGAGGGGCAGTGGGAGAGAGAGAAGCCGACTCCCAGCTGAGCAGGGAGCCTGACTTGGGGCTTGATCCCAGGACCCTGATGCTTAACCAACTGAGCCACCTAGGCGTCCCATCACTCTCTCATCTCTTAAGAACAGGTTAAGGGTGCTGGAGTCTCACCTCCCCGAGCACACCTTAAAGACCCAGCAAGGTCTCTCTCTCAGGGTCCAGCAGAGCACCTGCTGTGTGGTAAGCTCTTAACAGGTCTTAGCTATTACAGCTACAGGCAGTGTACCATTTCACCAAAATAACTGAAAAGGTTGCCCTTCTGTATTTGCAAACCCTTCTGTGAACAGACACTACCTTTCTAGAAGTATTTTTCAAATTTCACTTAATGGGTTCTGATCTGTCAAAAGATTAAAAAAAAAATCAGCAAGAGATAAAAAATAAATCCACAGGAATAAAAGCATTATTCGAAACCAGGGAATCAAAAGACACATTAAGCAAAGTAATTCCTCCTTTGTTAAAGCCAGCTGCTGAGGAAATGGGTGATAGCCATGTCACGAAGAGTAAACTTCCACCAGAAGCCATTCATACCGTCCAGAACTGGATGATTCTATAATAAAGTGTATCGTTTCTAAAAATTGTTCACAGGAGGGAATAAAAAACAAAACACTAAAATTGCACTGAGAGATTTCAGTTAGGAAATAGCTTCTTGACATTTCTTCCCACAGAAATGTAAAAATAGATCAAACATCTGTCCATCTAGTCCTCTTCGTATATATTTTGCCCAACCACAGATTTATGTTGTTTAAAAAACAAAAAAAAATCTTGCACTGAACCCAGCTGAGATCCATCACAGACCCGAGTGCAAAAGCTCATGGCAAAATCTCTAAAACCATATTTCAGGTAACATTCTCTACATATCTAATTCTACTTTATAAAGTATATTGAACAAAATTCTGCCTCTACATCGCCAGATGTAACAAAGAGCAGCTGAAGCCACAGCATCGGGTCGTCAGCAAGAATCAACAAGAATAGCTGGGACCCCTCGACTCCCCAGTCTGGGCCCCTTGCCACCTCCTGCAATTTCCAAGCCAGAACCTGGACGTCTCATTTTCCAACAGATGCAAAAACCAGCCTAAGCAGAATGCTCCACAAACTTAAGTTTCACAGCTTTCCTGAGGGAATAGGAGGAAATTCAATGCCTTGATTCTAAAAATCAGAATACAAGTTCTGTCAATTTTATTGAAATAAGTAGTTAAGATAGTAACACTGCAAGAAAGTCAAATAATCATCAGATACCTATAGATAAGGCCCTATATGAGATGCTGTGGAGGATATAAAAATATTTTTAATATATAAAATTTATTTATTTATTTCTATGTAAAATATGAGCCCTTGCCTTCAAGGAATTTACAGTCTATTAACAAAATCACTATTGGATTCTCCACCATACTTCATTCTGCTCAAACTCCTTCCCTGTCCCAAAGATTTCCAGTCTTAGCAGACTCTTGGTAACTTATCTCTAAGTGAACAGAGAAACTAATGGTCCCCCACCACAGTTGGTAATTATTTTACTGAATGAATTCCCCCCTTGGTAGCTCAAAATTTCTCTGTACCTCAGATTCTCCCTAATCAGTTCACTATAGTTTCTACCTCCTCGTCAGTGAAAATGCCCTTCATTCCATACCTTCTCCTCAAGGAACATTTAAGTGCCAATTTCTCTCTCTGTGGCAGCCAGCCTCCACGAAGGCCCCCAAGGACCCTGGCTTCTGGTATTCAAGCTCTTGTCAGTGCTATCCCATAATGCATAAAGTTCTGTCTGTGCAACAAATAAAATAGGGCAAAAATAATATGTGACTTCCAAGGAGAGGTCATAAAAGGCACCATGGCTTCTTCCTTGCTCTCTGGGGGAAGGTCAGCTGCCACGCTGTGTGGACATTCGGGCAGCCCTACGGAGAGGCCCACATAACGAGATGAGGAACCACGGCTTCCTGTCAACAGAAACATGAGTGAGCTTGGAAATATCCTACAGGCACATCAAGCCTGCAGGCCTGCAGGCCTGCAGCCCTGGCTGGCAGGACTGAAACCTGGAGCCAGAACCACCCAGAAAGACACGCCCAAATTCCTGACCCATAGAAACTGAGATACAGCAACATGTATGTTTGGTGTTCGGAAACCACTGGGTTTGGGGTGACCTGCTACATGGCAACAGACACCTCACATGCTCTTCCTTCTCCAGCTCCATAAGACATCCATAAATAGCCTTTGATCTCTACTGGAAAAAAGCAAACAACAAACAAAAACATACTTGGTCTTATCTTCCAGAGCAGGGGGTCAGCAAATTTCTTCTGTCAGGGGCCAGATAGTAAATATTTTACGTTTTGTGAGCAAAAGAGTCTCTGCTGTGACTATTCTACTCTGCTGTTACAATAAAAAAGCAGCCTCAGACAACACGGAAAAATGGGCATGGCTGTTTTACAATGAACTTGTATTGACGAAGCAGGTGGTGGGCCAGATCTGGCCAATGGGCCTCGTCTGCCTATCCCCTTCCTTAACAACCAATTCTATCAGCGGGTGATTTCAACACTCACTGACACCACCTTCTCCCCAGCCTCTTAAGCCCCCTGCCATCTGGCTTATGTTCCACCCATCAACTCAGATTGCTTTCTCAAAGGTCACATATGGCCTCTGGAGAAACCAAACAGGCTTTTCCTTCAGTACCTGTTGCTTTTCAACTTCTTGGCCACACACGAATTCTTCCTTGGAAGTCTTTTCCCTTGGACTCTGTTGCAATGAACTACTGTGGCTCCCCTTACTCCTCTGATTATCCCATTACTAACTCGCAGTCCTTCAGAGTTCCATACTGGAAGACATTCCTACAGATTTGCGGGGAGGGGTTGCTTCTCTTCGAACTTCTTTAAAAAGTTTTCGCGATCTCACTCTTTCAACCCTAGCTGCCGTGAGGCAACTCCAATGTAACCCCCATAATAAATGGCAGCAACTGACATTTCTTTAATCAGTAAGTTTGTGTACACAACACATGCTAGGCACTGAACTCGTTTTGGGGACAAAGCAGTAAATTAAGCCTTGTCCTTGCCTTGACAACAGGATGGCGAACCATCCCAGTTTGCCTGGGATGGAGGGGTTTCCAGGATGTGAGACGTCTTGTGCTGAAACCGGGAAAGTCCCTGGCAAGCTGAGACAATTAGTCATCCTAGCTGACAAACACATCAAGTAAATGTTTTTCTTTTGTTCCTACCTTAACTTCTTTTTATTTCTTCCATTCTGCCTTCTGTCACCTTCCCTTTCTTTGACTTTATGGTTCTTTTCAGGCCACCTGCGTGTATGTTTGTACAAGCTCACTACCCAAGTGGTGGTGATCCTTCTCACATCTCAAATGAATTGATTCTGGCCCCATCATATTACTGGAAAACATTTTTTTTTTTAAGTAGGCTCCACACCCAGTGTGGGAGCCCAATGAGGGGCTTGAACTCATGACCCTGCGATCAAGACCCGAGCTGAGTCTGACTAGGGGCACCTGGGTGGCTTAGTCGGTTGAGCGTCTGCCTTCTGCTCAGGCTGTGATCCCGGGGTCCTGGGATTGAGCCCCGCATCAGGCTCCTTGCTCACCCCGTCCCCCGCTCATGCGCTCTCTCAAATAAATAAAATCTTCAAAAAGAAAAGAGTCCGATGCTTAATCGACTGAGCCACCCAGGCGCCCCTGCTGGAAAACATTAATTGCCTTGTGATCTCTCCCTTTTAACAACAGTAGTTAACACCATAAGAGCTATGCTTCAGTTCCTTTTGGATTTTTCGCCAGACGAGATCTAATATTAACTTTAAAAAATTACAGAGAATCATGATCATTAACACGCTCCATTTTCTGACAGTGGAGATTTTGTTTAAGAGTTCAAACTTTGATTCCTCAATAATTAGGGCCAATTATTATACCAGAAATTATAAAATTGGCTGTATGTATGCATCTGTTACATTTGACATTACAAGAGCCCCTTCACAAATTAATACTTAATTCACAGAAACATGTTTTTTGGGCAAAAATTCTTTCCCATGCCAGCACCAGCTGTGTACAAGATCACAGCAATTAGCTGGGTGATGCAAACTGAACAAGAAGCTTTTCTCTTCTTACGGAAGCCCACCTGCAAAGAATTCCATGTTTTAAGTAACATATTCCTGGCTCAGTTAACTAAAAAAAAAAAAAGACAACCCACAAGGATCCTCACCTACATCAGATAACTGGGTTTAAGAAACAAAGCAACAAAGCCCCCCCATCGCTGCTACAA